TGGCATATGGCAGAGCTGGTATTTGGCCTTCTTTGTTCTTTCAACCCAGATGTTCTGACACTTTCATTAACCTTCATCATTGTAACCAACACTAGTTCTATCTGCCACCTTCAGAAAGTATCTATTTGTAGCTCTGTAAGCTTCTATCCCAGCTTCACTGAGATGTGCAGCTGCCTAGAGGTTGGCACTACCTCCTAGGAAAGCTAAAAATGGCTTGTGAAGGGTTTCTCTTTTTTTGTCTTTCTCTTCTCTTTTTAAAAATGAGTGACCAGTAGTCAAATAAATAATTTGGCTTTCATTAAACCAGAGGTGTTTGTTACAGAAATTGCCTCTCCTTTACGAGTCTCTACATCTTCCTGAAGAAAAAATTAACTCTCTTTGCTTCATCTCATCTAAAGCTCCTGCCCACCTCACTCACTCCATTTGTCCCTTTGTCCTGAGTCTGATGTGTAAATGTTAGGCAGCAAAATGCAAAGAATTGTCTTCAGAAAGTGAGTTGGTGTGAAGAAACAATTTTGCACATTCTTGATTTTATTCCAGTTATTACTTTCCTGTTAGATATAGGTTTAATGACATTTAATAGACCACAGTAAAAATATATTAAGTAGAATTCCTTCTTTATCTGCAAATGGCGAAAAGTCCACAAAGGAAGACTGAATATAGAGTGATTTCTTCATTTTAAAAATATGTATCAAAAGAATCAAAAAGAAACTGATACTCAGACCTGTCATTTGGTTTTTCTTTTCTGCTTTTAAATAATAAGCAACAGTAACACTTAAGTCTAATATGAAGAATAATCTGATCAGCAACTGGATGAATTAACTGGAAGGATAAATTCAGTGTAATTTAATAGATTCAAATTAAATATTTTCCATTATTTAAACCAAAACCATTCTTACTAAGGCTTTAAGGATCCAGTGATATAAAGGGGATAATTGTCAAAGCCTCAGTGAATCAACAATCCTGCTTGATTTTGATAGGGAAATTTTCCAAACTGTGGGCAGGCAGATGCTAAATTAAGTTTTGCTATGAGTAATAGAAAGTTAAAGACAAAATACTACCAAACACACCCACCATTCAAATGTGTTCATATTCACGTTTAAAGGATTGTTTACCTCGCTAGGCAATTATAGGTGCTGTCATCTTATTTAGATGCTTAGGACTGAATCCTAAGCTTATATGCTAAATAATAATCTGATGTTTAGATATTGCTCAGTGTAAACATAAATTTACCAGTTGATTTTAGCTGTGATCCTTACATATTATTCTAAATGATGGAGAAGTAAATGTAACTACTAAAGAACTGATTATCATTGAGTATGCCATATCCTATTAAAATTGTATTTTAAGAAGACTAAAAACGTGATTTTTTTCATTTCGAAATCTGAAAGCTTTAGTGTTTTTTCAATATTATTGAATAATCATTTTCAGACATTTATTTATTGTACTACAGGTGACTTTCAGTCAATCATATTCTGAAGCCAAAATATTATCATACTTACCAAACACTTGTGTAGCTATCATTGAAAACAGTAATAATGAGCTCTTTTATCTTTATTCTTTCATCTTCCAAGACTGTATCAAACCAACATTTGAATTAATCTGCCCCGAGACCAATCTATATTTCTGCAAAGCCTACTTTCTCAATCACCTCTTCCAACCTTCCAACCTATGCTCTACTTCCACTCATTTATCCATCCTTAACTTCTTCTTTACTATTATATACTACAAAGATCCAAAAATTGGGCAACATTATAAATAATACACAAAACTCTTTGACAGGAATAGAAATCATATTTTGATAGCCATTTTAAAAATTATGCACCAGAAATAATCTGATGTATATTAATCACTTTACAGCATGTTTGCAAATAACTTCTGAGATAGATTAAGCATATCATTTGCTCAGATATTTTTAATCTGAGTCATTACTTGCTGCTCATTTTGCTACAGAATAATGAATATCTTTAAAAAGTCCACACCAGCTGTATTATTGCTTGTATAAAACATGTTTCTGTTTTCACAAAGGCTCTATGAAATGCAAAGAAGTGCAAGCTTCATATGGCATCATCACCATGGCTTAAATTATTGCTTGAAAGGTTGTTATAAGGTATTGCTTGGAAATCCCTTTTCAGATAATATACAATTCAATATGAAAAGTACATAGTGAGACTAAGTATTAAGTTGGTGTCTTTTCATAACATAAAAATCAAAGCATTCAGAAGTAAGGCTGTCACTTTGATATTTGCTTCTGTGTCCCAAAGGTCATAGTTTTTACCTCGGTGGTGAGGATTAGCAAATGTTGCAATATACCGCACAGCTCTGGCAGTAACTAAGAAAATAGTACTGTATCTAGTATGCCTAATAGCCCTATAGTGAGCAATATTCATCCCTCATGCTTATCAGTGTTGACATCTGTCTCTAAGTTTGAAGATTTATGCTCAGAAAGAAGACCACAATTTGGAAATCAAATCCAAAACTAAAATTTGTGAAAGAAATAATGGTATGAGGCCTAGAGTATTTAACTTTTCAAAATAACTACAAATGAAATAACATTACTATCCCCGTCAGCTTGTATTTACTCCTAGTAATTGAGATTATTTGAATACTTTTCAATGATTCCCAAGTCTGGCTATATATTAGCATTACTGATTTTCTAAACACAGATTCCTAGGCCCTCCCCGAGACCTACTGAATTCAAATCTCTGAAGGTAAAGACTAGTCTTCTGTATTCCTAAAACTCCCTATGGAATTCTTATGAAGCCAGTCAGATACTTCCAAGCAGATCAGTTAAACCACTGAACTAGGTCATTCCTTTTTTTTTTTTTTTTTTGAGACTGAGTCTCTCTCTGTCGCCCAGGCTGGAGTGCAGTGGCGCGATCTCAGCTCACTGTAACCTCTGCCTCCTGGGTTCATGCCATTCTCCTGCCTTAGCTTCCCAAGTAGCTGGGACTACAGGCACCCGCCACCACGCCTGGCTAATTTTTTGTATTTTTTAACAGAGACAGGGTTTCACCGTGTTAGCCAGGATGGTCTCGATCTTCTCACCTCGTGATCCGCCCGTCTCAGCCTCCCAAAGTGCTGGGATTACAAGCGTGAGCCACCGCGCCCGGCTGGTCATTTCTTAATAAGGATTGAATGGCAATGAAGTGCTTAACTGAAACCATGATCTGGTTATAACATATTAGAAATAAAGACACAAACTTTACTTCTCTGCAGTCCCAAGTCCTTCCAAAGAAACTTATTTCTTTCAATCATGAACATCTACATTCAATAAACACACATATACATATACACAAACTAAAAATATTAATCACTTTATAAAACTATTTTAGAATATGAGATTAGCTGTGATACTTCCTGTGTTATAAATGTATCAATGACTTTTTTTAATTAAAGGAAGGAAGAAAGGAAGGAAGAAAAGGATGGAAGAACAGTAATATGTAGGTTTCAATTGTTTGGATCAAGTGTGAGGAAGGAATTTTGCACACTATCTCAATATAGCCCGACAAGATTATGTTAATCTGTACATAATATCAGTGTCTGCTCTTCATTCACCACCACGAGGATCTTGAAATTGAGTCCATAGCTGGGGTCAACTTACTCATTTAACAGTACATTTTGTTCAATCACGTGAACACAATTTATGTGTATGTTAAACCAGCTGGTTGTGGTTTAGGAATATTCATATCAAGGGCTGCCCATAAATCGTTTAGAAATTTAAACCTTACTAATTCAGTCTCTTATGCATCATGATTTTTGGGCTAGATTTATTAAGCTATGCTTATAGAAGCCTCTGAAATGACATAATTTTTGTAGTTGAAGGTCTATAATCTAACAGTAGAAACAACTAAGCTACAATATAGGGCTTGGTTCTTGGACTTGAGTTTCTAGATATTGTCGGCTGAAAGGCATCTAGTACTACCCAAAGCCTATTCAGAGTCATTTATAATTAATTTCAAAGGAACATTCAGTGAAGTTGCATGAAGTGCTTGGAGTCGGACTGGGTTTTGAAGAAAGAGCAGAGGGAGAAACTGCAGACATAATTAATGCCCCGGCACATCCAGTTCATTACTACACTTCAGAAGTACATTGTTACTCAGGCCTGACTGTGTGTGGTCCTTCCTATCTGCCTGAATGAGGCACCAGCAACCCTTTCTGTAGCCATTCTGGGTTCAGAAGTGAAGACAGAATGCTGTTTGCTGTGGCCAGGCTTGAGGGGTGAGATAGTTTCTAGGGACAGAATGGAGTAAGAAAGGGTCTAGAATGGGCTGAGTCATTCTCAAAATGACAAGACAGAAACCTGTGTGTAAAAGTATTACTTTTTGCCTTAACCATCCACAACACTTCCCCTCAGAAAGTCTGGAACCCAAGAAGGCTTCCACAAATATATTTAATGATGGTCATAATTTTGAGCTCCTACTTGATGCCTTACGACTTTAGATACACACACAGTTTTGTTCAGCAGCAATATGATTCTGTACAAAACACAATGCCTGGTGGGGTTTTCAGAATTCTCCATGGCTTTGCCTTTTGTTATCTATCAATTTAATTTCACGTTATATTACTAGAACTCTTTGGAGGCATTTGCAAAGTTGAAAGTCTTGCTCCCTTTGTGAATGAGATTTTGTTTAAGTTGTTATTCTCTTTTGCTTTGCTTTTCCTGAAGAGACATGCACATTCACTCTAAACTACTGTGTCCTGACACCATTGTCACTGGACAAGAGGAAGGAGTGCAAGACTGTGAGAAATAACATTTGAAGTGCTGAACCTACGGACCCACCCTCAAATCTCAGGCATCAATGTCTGTCTCAGAGTCCCAGATCAAAGCTCACTTGATTCCACATAATCAGATATTAAAAGGAAAATCCAAGATTACTTAAAATATAGAGCAAGAGATGAATAAAGGCAGATTGTAGGCAGTTGGGTCCCATGTTACCTGGAAGCTATGTCTTCTTCCCCTTCTCTATATTATATAGACAAGAGATCCAACTACTATGTTTCTGAGGCATATTATTATTTTTTATTATGGTCAATGATACCTAATTATTAAGGTCCACAAAGAAGATACAGGGTAGTACATTCTGAGTACATATTGGGGGATTCTGATTTTGTTAGATAACTGATTTATTTGCAAATGATGACATTCTCTCCATCAACATAATCCTGATACCAATGTGATTGATGCTTTGGTGCTTATGGCCAGTTATAAGTTGCCTTCTTCCAAATAGCAGCTTAAAAGAACATTAAAATGCAAGAGCTATAGGTGCCAAATTATATTTTAAAGTATCCCATGTAGAGTGGGTTAAAACCATTTCCCCAATTTAATATCATTTGGTTTCTAAGGAAATATCACATAAATTTCTTTTATCTGCCATACTAAAATGCATGCTGTTGGTAATAGTTTGTAAGTAAGTGAGAATATAGATAAGTCATATGAAATAACAAATGCCACCACATTGTTACAATCACAGTTCCTAAGAGAAGAGATGTAGATGGCATTGTGTAGGACAAATAAAAATATAATTCTTTCTCCATCTTCTAACTTCTGTGATTGAAGTTTGAATGAACAGACATTTTATATAGTACTTCACAAACACATAGAAACATTGTAACTACAATAATCAACTATAATAGATTAGCAAAATGATAACAGATTGGACCATTATCTCAGACTATAGCTTTGAATATACACTTAGATGATAACATATGAAAAATGTAGTTGACATCCTGTCGGTGACAGATAAGAAATCTCTGGCACGTTCTTCATCGTGACATTTATGGCAATGTAAATGGATACTTATTCTCTAAGTAAAATCATATAAACTAATACAGAATTTGTGATTCTTCTGACAAATTGAGACACATAAATACAATACTTCTCTCCAGGCCTATCACTAGTAATGAGGTGGATTTCCAGTGATGCTTTTCAAATATGCTTCCCATAGATATTCTTAAGTATGGAGAGAATAAATATGTGTTTGTAGTTGCTTAGACAAATCTTTACAAAAAGTGAGAGAAATAGATTGGATATTCCTGGAAGTCCCTTTCAGCCTTATGGTTACAAAACTCATTGTTCATCACCAACATGTTTATTGATTTAATATACCATAATAAGTTCTAAGTTACTGAAGACATAATAAACGATATCAGTGAGCTTGTTCTCTCCCCATGCTCCAGTGCTACAAGGAGCCCATCAACATTGCTAAGGCATTTTCTAATATAAGCATGAGGACTGAGGTGCACCCAGCCTGCTCTGCTCATACTGACTGTAAACCTCCTCATTGTCCAGAGATACAGGCCCACAGAAGAGGGGATCAGGCAAAGGTTTAGAGTTCAAGGTCTACTTCCTGTCTTCTCCACATAAAGAGTTGTACTCGTGCCCTTATAAACCCCCAGGGCAAGAAAATAACTCAAATTATAAAAGGGATCATGATTATAACAAATATTTGCATATCTACAAATGCCTTCTAGCCACACAAATAGAAAATTTAAAAACATTAAATAAGCCTCATAGACGACATTGGAAATTAGTAAATATATTCCTTAACTGAGTTATGTCATAACCAAACCATAATGCACCAAAATCCCTGAACAGAAAAGAATATTGCATTCAGTTAGACGTAAGTTATCAATGAGTAGGAAAATGACCTCTCCAAGGTTTCAAGGAAACAAATGCTTCCAGTTTATTAACGTCAATAGAAACTTAGATTTTATATTTGATCCCAAACAGGAAAACTCTGGACACATGATGCTCCTAATTTTAGTGTGAGCCAGTAATATTTTCATGCAGTATTGATTAATGAGAACAGGTCTTAATTTGAGCAGGACATGCAATGGAATCCTATCTGTAACTATAATGATTACTAGTTCTGAAGATTATAGCTACTTCAGTATTCATGAAAGTGATTCACTGAATTTAAAAGCCGTATCAATCAAACTGCAGAACATTTTTTTTTAAAACCTCAAAGCCATAAAATACAGAGGTTTCCTTGCTTTGTGTTGTACAAGAAGAAACAACATTCTTGGCAAAATGTCCTGAAACTTCTTTGTCACTAATGCCAGTATCCAGGAATTTGCTCTCAAGAATAGCATTCGGCTCTTAGGAGGCATCAACTGGGGAAAAGGAAGGGGGTAACTAACATGTCATTTAGTTGAATGCTGTTTATTAGAATACAGTTTAGTGCTGCAAAAGCTACCTATATAAGTGCTAAGTTGAAAAGGGTCCAGTGTAGCAAAGCATCTCATTTTAACTGATATTTGTTAGAAGGTGGCAAAGAGACCTTTCTTCAATCTTGGTTACAGATATATCTGGTATTTGGAAATTCCATTTCCTCTGGATTCCATGCTACATTAATTAAATCTAAGATATATTTACTAAGCAGACATAGAATGCTTTCTTGGTATCTGAAATCCTTGGTTATATGTATTCTCAGTCCAAGCACTGATTTCTCTAAATAAGGGAAACTATGTTAGATTAATAGGTTAGTATTATATAATATACTAACAATACAGAAGCAGATTCTGAAAATCTAATAATGTGTGAAATGTAGTTATCTAGAAGAGATATGTATAAAAATAGGTAATATCCCTAAAATATTTTGCCGAGTTACAATTCTTCCAGTCGGGAAGTTTACCACACTGCCATGATACATGTATGAAATGTCTGTTCAGAAAAAGAAACTTAGAAAATATTCCTCACCCACCAACTCACTAAATGTAGGAATATATAATCAAAACTGGCTCCCAAAAGTGGTACAAATATATAGGGAAAGATACTTGTATGTGTGATAAACAAGAAAACATGGAATCTATTTATTGGTTAGTTCTGAAAGAGGACCCACACTTGTAATTAAAATATATGTATATATATATGACCAAAAACACTCATATGAATGGACACATCTTATTTCCCTCATCCTCCGGCTTTTTATTGACAGCGGTCACCTCCACCTTTTAGTAGGATTATTGCCTGACATAATACAGAAATTTTGCTGCTTGTTCTCAACAAAGCAATGAAAGAGACACAATCTCTTTCCACCCCCGCTCTGGTGACCCATGTTCTGGGCTTGTGCTTTTTTGGAGGAGTCTTTGTTCTGTAGCAGGTCTCAGAGGCTTGTCTCCCGGAGGAACATGGTGCCAATGTTGTAGGAAACCTTTTTTATTCTCGACGAAGAAAGAGAAGGCTTTGGTGGCTTTGGACCAGTCCTTACCTCCAGGAAATAGCAGATCCCAGGAATTTCCTTTGGAAAGTTGTCTGGAAGCTCTTCACGAGACCGCGGAATGAATATGAAACTTTCTTCCCGTTTTAATAATCTAAGAAAAAAATACAGAGCACATGAATCAAGTAGGCCAGGGAAATGTAAATACGTGGACAGAAATTTTAAAGGCTGAGGAAGCCTGTCTCTGACTGCTCATGGTGACACCTCTATTTCTTTGTATAGATGTGGCCTTCATCAGATTCCAAATGCTAGGAAATGTTATAATCCAGAAGAGATCCCTTCATGTAATTAAAAAAAAAAAAAAAAAAAAACCTCAAAGCTAAGTGTGGTACTACCTGAAAGTATTTGTTCAAGATTGATTTCTTTCTAAACAGCATTCCTTGAAAATATTTGTTCAAATGTTAATTGTTTTCCCTAAACAAAGGTCCGAGGAAACTGCATAATACAGGTTTTATTTCAAGCATGCAGGATTCACGTTCTCTGTTTTTAAAACCTGCCCAAATTCTAGTGCACTCCTTTTATGTTTGGTAAACCATGTGCTTTAAATGTGTGTCCTGTATGGAAAAAACATTAATCAAGTATTTACCTTTGTAGAACAACATTTCATGACTCCCAGTGTCTCTGATACCTGCTTGCTGATTTCTAGCCAAGCATGCTATCCAAACTCGATAGCATTATTGGTTAAAAAGCTTGATTCTTCTCTTCCAGTCACACATAAAGACTCTTCTTCAAAACACTAACACTGGAATAAATTTATTCATTAAACTTGTCCAGTTTCATGTAATGTTCAGTTTCATACTTGTATCTGAAAGTGTGGCCCAACAATTCAATTTAACTCAACAGCTCTTTATAGACTATTTCTTATTGCCCAAGAAAAACCTCCTAGACACTTCTGTGAATATAAGGAGTAGAACACATCTAAAAAGCTCACAGTTTTGTCAACAGATACAGAAACAGAATAAAAGAGTTTTTAAAAACCCTCAACAAATGAACAAAACACAGAGTAATATAAAAGTATAGAACAGAATAGGCTAGATGCCATCAGAAAAGTAGACACGAAAATTGCAGAAGTCTAAAGAAAAAAGTATTTGCAGTGGGAGGACCATAGAGACTTCATGGACTAGATGTTATTTAAAGGCACGTACAGAATGATGTAACCAAAGGGTTAGAAACACGAAAAATGTAAAGTTTCTAACCATATGATGACATTCCCCAGTGAGGTCAGAATGAGGGTTAAGACTGGGACAGTAGGTTAGGAAAAAGTTTTAAAGCTCTAAACTAAGAGTTTGGACTTTATTTGGAAAGCACCTTGGATCCAAACCCATTATCTTTTTCTTAAAAACAACCCATCCTCCTAACACAGATTCATGTTAGCAGCAGTTCCAAGTTATGCTGTGTAGGAGACAGGTTGGGGCAAAAGAACCAATAAGCACAAGCGGAATAAAGGATGCGTGAACATACAAGAACATTGCACAGTCAATTATGAGAATCTCTAAGGAGAAGAAAATATTCCTTCTCGAATGCTATTAATGGATAGGAAATATTACCTAAAACAACAGTTGGTAGTACTAATAAGGTATAATATGAGCAGTCTATATTTAATTTGAAAAACCAGAGCTATAGTATTTTGATTGTTAAAGGATATAATGGCAGTTTTTAAAAAACAAAATGATTATATTCATTTGGTATATAAAAAACGAGGTTCCTTCTAACATTTCAAAATTCTTTCAAAAGCCTTATCCTATTTTATTCACATAATATAGTTGTTTGTAAAAGCTAAAAGTACAAACTATGCATCCAACAGAGGTATAATATGCAGCATGTATGAGAAACATAAATTTACAAGAAAAAAACACAACCCCATTAAAAAGTGAGCAGAGGACATAAACAGGCATTTCTGAAAAGAAGACATACATGAAGCCAACAAGCATATGAAAGAAAGCTCAACATCACTGATCATTAGATAAATGCAAATCAAAACCACAATGAGATACCATTTAACACCAGTCAGAACGGCTGTTATTAAAAAGTCAAGGGCCAGGCATGGTGGCTGTCGCCCATAATCCCAGCATTTGTGGAGGCTCATGAGGTGGGTGGCTCACGAGGTCAGGAGTTCAAGACCAGCCTGGCCAACATGGTGAAACCCCAGCTCTACTAAAAATACAAATAAGCCAGGCATGTTGGAGTGCCCCTGTAAATCCCAGCTACTTAGGAGGCTGAGGCAGGAGAATCACTCGAACTGGGAGGTGGAGCTTGCAGTGAGCCGACAACATGCCACTGCTCTACAGCCTGGGTGACAGAGCGAGACTCAGTCTCAAACAACAACAACAACAACAACAACAAAAGTAAAAAAAAGTAACAGATGCTGGTGAGGTTTTGGAGAAAAAAGGAACATGTATACAAAGTTGGTGGGACTGTAAATTAATTCAACCATTGTGGAAGACAGTGTGGAGATTCCTCAAAGACCTAAAGACAGAAATGCCATTTGATCCAGCAATCCCATTACTGGGAATATACCCAGAGGAATATAAATCATTCCTTTATAAAGACACGTGCATGTGTATGTTCATTGCAGCATTATTCACAATAGCAAAGACATGGAAACAACCTAAATGTCCATCAGTGGTAGACAGGATAAAGAAAATGTGGTAAAACACACACTATGGAATACTATGCAGCCATTAAAAAAGAATGAGATGTCATTTCCAGCAACATGGATGGAGCTGGAGGCCATTATCATTAGCAAACTAATGCAGAAACAGAAAACCAAATACTGTATGTTCTCATTTATAAGTGGGAGCTAAATGATGAGACTACATGGACGCATAGACAAGAATAACACACACCAGGGCCTTTTGGAGGGTGGAGGGTGAAGGATAGGAGGAGGGAGAGATTCAGGAAAATAACTAATGGGAAGTAGTCTTAATACCTGGGTGATAAAATAATCTGTACAACAAACCGCCATACATGCACAGGTATGTAACAAACCTGTACTTGTACCCCTGAACTTAAAAGTTGAAAAATGCTAATCTCCACAAAATTTATAGAGGGTAAAAGTGAGTTCAGAGTAAGTTATACTGATTTGCTCAAGGAAACAACATGACAGTAGTGACAATGGAACTGGAACCTAGACCTGTAAACACAGTCAAGTTTAGCCCAACAATAAATAACAAGACTAGGTAAGATAGCTCTCCATCACAAAACAACCAAACTGAGATATCATTAATGACAATAAGAATGGAAGTCATCAGTAGTGTTTACTTTCTTTTCATTTTCACAAATGTCAATTCTCTTTACTATTGATATATAATCAGTCACTTTAGAAATAAATTGTAAAACGCCTTATACAGTAGTTTAATTTAGCAGTGAATTCCACAATAATTTTGCTAAGCTCAAATAGAACAGTCATCATTGTGTAATATGTGGGTGTCAATCATTGATGTCAATCAATCAACAAACTTTTTAGTGGTTATGACATTATAAATAGCCCTCTGAATGGAGGCGAGTAAGTGGGGATTCGCAGAATAAGTTAATATAACTAAAATGACAAGAAATGCTCATTGAAACAAATTAGCAATAAAATGATACATCATCTGATATAATCTAAAGGAAGAAATTTTACAGGAGAAAGGGAGAGGTGATAACTATGGACTTAAGTACAAAAGTTAAGAACCACATATAGCCATAGTTCAGTCTTTCCACAAAGTTTCCTTGAAGCCCATAATCAACAGTTAGGACTCCAAATAAGCTACATTCCCTTCTCCCTATCTTTTAAGTCCTCAAATGTATCTTTTACAGTTTGTCTGTCTCACCAAGATCTTTGTTTTGCTATAATTGAGATTTTCAACCCCAAACAAAAATGGGGTTACGTCCATGAAAGTACTTGTAAATGACTGAAAGAAGATGGTACCAGCTGCTTCAGATGTCAGAACTTTTAAATAATTCACTGCACGTTGGCTGGGAGGAAACTTTTCACAATGAATTGATCTCTTGACATGTTAAATAGATCTCATATACTTTGCTAGAGATTACAGAGACAACAGCTTTTATGAAATTGTATTTTCTTTTCCCAGTGAACATTTTGGTATCCATAAACTAAATACAGTTTTAAATTTCAATAATAAAAATGAGAACACATAAGGATAAATTGACTCAAGGTCCTATGATATCCAGTATTTATTACAGCAGACTTTGTAGATAAGAACATTGAAGTGCAATGTTCAGTTGAATTCCAATAGGACAATCTTTATGACTTGCTGGGGGGTTTGTGGAGGAGGTCAGGGGAATCATTTCACACAGCGTGCCTGGTGATGATATGAGTCATGGTGCTGAGTAAGCAATCAAATGTATACAAGGATTAGGAATTATTTAGAACCTGATCATCCCAAAGCCTCGGATCCCCTCTGAAATGCTTTATTAAGTCCAAGTCCCCGGGTTAGCCCTAAAGCTCTACCTAACAATCCATTTCTTTGTCACCTCAGGGCTGATATGGAAGCTTAGATTCTATATAAATCTAAATTAATCCCCAGCTGTAATCCCCAGCAGGTTGTTATACACTCTGGGAGTTTTGGCAACATGTTTAATAAGCATTTGGAAATCACACAAATCCTAGTTTACCTGCCTGTCCTAGTTTACCCTTTCTCTGCTCAACAGTTTTTTCTATAAATTGTTTTTCAAAATAAAAATCCACTACTGCTTTGCATCAATGGATGGCTCCCAAGCATGTGCAGGAAACTTGATTCCATGGAGGTCCATGGAGCTTCTCCATCACAACTGCAGAAATGAAGCTGGTCTCTGACTCTCTCACCTCTTGTTTGCATGCTCATTTCCCCCAGTTTTCACCATGCTCTGTTCTCTGTCCTACATCCTACCTTGGGAAAGGGTCTGACACTTATTCATACTGAAGTACAAATGATCTAAATCTAGTTCAAATTTTAACACAAGATTCAGAATTCTTAAAAAGGGTCTGTGAATTCAGCAGTCAACTAGTCAACAGGTAATCATTAAGTGCCTTCTGTGAGCTAGGCTTGAACCAGTACTTTCTTACCTCTCATCATAATATGTATGGGACAGGAGAAGACTGAGAGGGAAACG